CGGCTCGTAAATTGGATGAACCGAGTGGTGAGCTTATTGTAAGCCCGCGAGAGGCGGGACGCGGCCTAAAAAGGAAGACGTTCCTCCGCCGAGAGCGACTTTTGTCCCACATAAATCTCGCCCTCCCCCCCTCCCCGCCCGCTCACGGCTGAAGTGTGGCTCCCGGAAGGTTAAAGGTTAAAGGTTAAAGCGATCCCTAATCGTTCCCGATGAACGGACGCGATTCCGCGAGGTCGATAAACGATTCCGACGGACGATAACAACGACTGGATTGGAGCTCTTTAATTAGACTCACCCTGGGACTCGATTCGCGTCCGAATATACAGGCAGTATATTCCGAAATTATTACAAATACCAAAATTATGGTATCTTCGGGAAATTAGAGATTCCTGATGTGATTCGAAGCAACTTTTTCCTTTACAAAAATTTTCTACGACGCTTCGTTCACGAGTTATTAACGAAAAACCCGGGACCAATGAAAGGCGAGTGCTCGGCTGGCGCGCGGCGGCCCAGCCAACGGCGCGCGCAACCCAGTTCCGCTGATTGGCGCGGCCGCCTCGCGCTAGCCGAGCGCTCTCCTCTCATTCGTCCAGCGTTTTTCGTTAATAACTCGTGAACGATGCGTCGGAGAAAATTTTTGTAAAGGAAAAAGTTACTTCAAATGATCTCAGGAACCCCCCCTCAGTTCTCGGAGGTGCCACAATTTTGGGACACCCTGTATACTTTCTTAACGTCGTCGCGCGTTATGTTTAGCCACGAAACGCTCGATATCGATTTACGATTTAACGGCGAGCCGGTGAACATTCGGCTATTGATCGAAGTTTTAAGGACGGGCCGTGCTTTTCATTGGCCGGCACGGTCTATGCGTCGATTCCCAAACCCATTAGCCGCTGTGCAAGCACGGGTCCGGTGTCGAAACATTCGTGTTTGTGTCTCGGATGAATTTCAATTAGGGCGAAGGTACCTGCACGATGCGACTGTGACGAGCTTTCGTTGCACTTTCTTCGCTGTTTCTTTCGAAAATCTTATGAAAAAAGAACAATTGAAAAAGGGAAAAACGAAGTCATCGTTGGTAGAAAAACGATGTTCTTTCGTCTCAAGACGGGAACGTATAATTTATTTAGCGGATAATATGGAAAAACGGAAACATTTGGAAGAATCTAAAAATGTCGCGACACTATTTTCGATTTATTAAAAAATATTACACGGCGAAACGAATTTTTTGTATAACTCTTGCCTGTGGAAATTGATGCGGAAAATGTTTTAGATTGCATAAAAATCCGCAGTGCAACGTCGGTTATAAGTTTCTGGTGCACGTGTAGCTTCGAGTTACGGAGGCTGCGACGATGGAAGTTCAACTTCTGCAGGCAAACTCCGACTCGCAGGGTTTAGGCTGCTCTAAATTCGAGTTATCGGGCCGAAATCTGAACATGTAGCAAATAATATTTAACTAGTTGAAGTCGGTTTTATTTAAAGTTATAGAGGCTTATATATATAGTATTTATTATATAATATTTAACTAGTTAAAATCGGTTTTATTTAAAGCCTCTATAACTTTAAATAAAGCCGACTTGAACTAGTTAAATATTATTTATTAGTCTTATACTAATTTATTAGTATAATTATCTTATTATACTTGACTATAATAAGCGCAAAATATAACAAGAATAATAGCATTCAAGAGAACGATATGACAGTGAAAGATACATTTTCTAATTATGTCGTCTTGTTATTATCTGGGGCACAATAAATTGCAAGCACTTTTTCTGAATTAAGTGATGTTAATTGGCAATGTTCGTTTGTAAAAATTTATTTATTCGCAGAGAATAATGGCTACACCTCACTCGATGTAATTGACGCACACTTGCAATGCATATCTTGTGCGTTGAAGTACAATATCGTAATTGCAATATTTTCTCATATTTATGCTTCTGATGCTACGGCAATAAATAAATGCTTTTCTCGTTGCCTTCGTCGATAACGAAATTAAAAACATCCTCGCTCGATCTCTTCATTAAAGCTACTTTATTATTTATATATTTATATATATTATTTATATATATATTTATATTTATATATATTTATATATATTTATATATTTATATATTTATATATTTATATATATATAAAATAATATATAAAATATAAAATATTTATTATATTTTAAGAAA